TAATCAACACTACTGGCAACTAATCAAATCTGTCGCCTAATTGCTGTGATGGCAAAAACAAACACTCTTGCAAAGAGTTTCAGCATAATCTTGAGAATTTAAAGTCATTTTTTTTATTACAGGGACTCCTAAATAAATGTGCTTGTTTGTATTAGCGTCACTGGCTCACCCACAGGTTTGTGTTTTTTCCTGATGATAAATAACTGTTCCTGAACTGCTCTGTGCAGACGAGGCCATCAGCCTCCTCCTTTATGAAGCTCTTTTGGTGGATCTGCTCAAATACTGTCTCCAGGCTTTTTGGCAAATTGTCATGGCAACTGCTGCAGTCTTAAAGGACAAACAGAGAGGACCTCACTGGTCATAGCACACACAGACGCAGATACACCATCCAAACAGATTCACTCAGATAACAAGCCAAACCATGTTGGTATTCAGTGCAGATAAAACAACCAACCAGTTAAAGAAGAAACTGAATGATTCAGTTGTGCTAAACTGGAGGGCAGTGGGTCTTCATTAATGGCAAAACAGAAATGCAGACTAAGTGTAGTTCATGTGGCTCATCACTTCAAGTTAAATATTTGACAATGACAAGAGGAATAAAATAAATTTCCAGGTATAGGCACGGTTGGTACAGTGTAGTGGGTAATACCTCTGCCTTCTATGCTGCAGACTGGGGTTCAATCCCCTCTGGGCAAGCACCCTACACCACCAAGAGTCCTTGGGCAAGACTCCGAACTCTACCTTCGCCTACCTGTGTAAAATGATCAGTTTGTAGGTCACTTTGGATAAGAGTGTCAGTCAAATGCTGTAAATGTATATAATGATTCTAATATGCTGGTCCTCAGCAACTTCAAAGTTTTCAAATATTCAGACACTAGAAGGGTGTATAACATCAAGAATTAAGTTTTAATAAAATTAATAGCCAGAATTCAAAACTGGAGATCAAATCTTATGCCACATAACTTGACAAAAACTATATGTATATAGAAACTCACAATACCTGATTGCATTTGCAATTTATTTGTAATTGCAATATTTATCTCTCGGTTCCCATTTTTTGAAAGAATTATCAAATAAAACATCTAAAAATACCTCTGGTCAATATGGCAAGTCATCCCCAACACCCATTTATAAAATGCAGAAATTGGGACTAAATCTAATTGGAACAGAATTAAGTAGAAACATACTTCTTATTTGTAGAGGGTTACAAATGCAGTGAAATGAAGAAACTGCAGACATTTTAGCATAATAATCCAGTGTAAATGGTCAGCTTTTCCAGAATACAACAAATAGTCACACTATCAATCAGACTTAAGCAAATGTTCAAAGTCAATTTATTTTAGAATTATCTGACAAATATCAATATGCATGCCTACTGTAAATTTCTATGCTGCAATCAAAAGGGAAAAATTTGCTGAACTGCAACAGCACCAAAGGGCATCTTTTTCTGGAATGGATGACATTTTCCTGCTCTTAACAAATCAGAATATGATCCAAAATAAAATCAATTAGCCCTCAGGCTCTCACAACAGCAGGGCAGATATGCACATAACTAAACAGTCTGAATATAGAAAGAGAGGCCCCAGTTAATGTGATGTGCATGAACTGCTTTGAACTGTTATGTTTGTAACCCTGAAAACATTGGGACATCATCAGATGCTCACACTGTGTCTCTAAAAGAACACATATGTGCACAGAACCACTGAACACCTCCCAGCACAATGAACTCAACTGATTATCTGTTATTTTTTACTTTATTTCCATATGTTTGCTTTCCAGCAGATTTTATGATGAGTAATATGGTGATTTGAATGGAAACATTTGCTTATTACAGTTTAAAGATTACTGTACAGCAGTGACCAGTAATCCAAGATGTTAATGTGTTCACCAAAGCCTTTAGGTCCCTTAATTCTTCTTCATTTTTGGATATTGCTCTTTCATAGAGTTTTCTACAAACTCCTCTGATCTGATGGTTCACTAGTTAACCATCTACAGTGACGCTGGTTTACACTGACATTTGACATTTATGGTATTTGGCAGACGCTCTTATCCAGAGTGACTTACAATTTGATCATTTTACACAGGTAGATGATGGTAGTGTTAGGAGTCTTGCCCAAGGACTCTTATTGGTATAGTATAGGGTGTTTGCTCAGGCAGAGGGGATTGAACTCCAGTCTACAACGTAGAAGACAGAGGTGTTACCCACTACACTACACCAACCACTGGTGTAGTGCTGGTTGAGTTGTAAAAACCGGTAACTGCTTAAAATGTCTAAAAATGACTTTGAAATGTTTGCTAACTGATACTGATGATGAAGCCAACATGCTGCAGAGGCTTTCTATGTATATCACTTCTCTGTTTTTTTTTTTTAGTTTTGCTACTTTAATTATTTCATCCATGCCTAAGTAATAAATTAGGGTCAGTGGAGAATTTCAGTCAAAATCAACTTTGTTATTCCTTCTTACCTTAGACACGTAATAAGGGACAAACTATTGTTTTTCCAGAATACGGTGCTATATTTAACACAAAACTGCAGCCGACAACAGTACAAACCGACAGTGAATCCAATAAATACAGACAGTAAACTATACAAACACTACACAATTGAGCTCAGGACACTACAGACTAAACAGTCAGCAGTGGACAGTGGGGTGTGGGGAATGTGAAATGACTCTCAATAGGGTGGGTTATCCTCAGTAGCAATGATTAGTTGTCTATGTACAGTACTATGCAAAAGCCTTAAGAACCTAAGCAAACTGTTCAAAACCATTTAACTGAGAAACAAGTGTGTTACAGTCATTTCACCTGATAATACTGATAGTAGAAAATAGACCTAGCAGCAGTTAGTGTGCTCAGAATAAAATGTCCTGTGTATATAAAGTGATTTAAATAATACAGATCTCAATTCACTGTATAAATTCACTTATATTAGGCATTTTTATTTGTCATAACTTCTTGCATTTTAATTTGTTAGGCTGAACTAAAGGTAAACCTGTGACTCAGTGGGGCTGTATTTTTTGCATAATTGATCTGGTTTTGCATTATGTAAGCACCCAGGGCTGTACAATGCAATACTATTGCCACATGTGCTTAGACAAATTAATCTTGTGTGAATACAAAAAGGACCATAGACCTAGACATTCATGTGTGCATGTGTGTACATCTTCTTTTAAATAGAGTACAACTGCTGTGATTATTATTGTGGACGAAATTTCTCCACTGCCTAAGTCATCTGCTCAGCACAGTGCGACCTGTGCCACAGGTTAAGTTCTTGTGTTTATGGTAGCTGTAATTCGTCAGGTGATACGAACAACAGAGAACAAATCCAAATACTTGTAATCAAAGGGCCTCACGATGAACAAAATGCCCAAAAGTTGTTTAGTTTGAGGCTGTAATGTCATAGGTAAAGTCAGCAAAGACTTAAGATTTTACAGTTTGTCTGCAGGAAAAAAATAAGCCCTCCGAAACATATCTCTGGTTTGGAAGGCCGAGGTGCCCTCTGCTGCCTTTGCTATCTTTAGCCTATATACTATTTTTATGTTTTTTTTTTAGATTAAGCTTTTTAATTTCAAAACCATTAAATAACACTGAACCATTTTATTCCTCGCTTTGAAACCTATGACTCCACCCATACATGCATTACAGTTGGTGTGGGTTTCCTCTTGCTCGATGCAGAAAAAAACTGTGTCCCCTTGTAGGGAACCTGAATTATCTGTACATTTTCTCAAACTGAGAATTAAAATACAAATCTTTTACACACTGCTTAACCCTCTGAGGTTGACGACGTCATATGCGACATCAAAGGACATCGGCCCATATTTATCAGGCAACCCAGTGTAAGAACGCTGAAGAATCTAAGATCAGGCCTCATCAGTCCATGGAGTCCTATTCATGATATGTAAAAAGAATGAACTGACTGACATCGGACCAGCATTATTAATCTGAGATGTTTGATAAATATGGGCCATCATACATAAGAATAAACATCTTGGGAATGCTGCATGCTACAGACTTACTTTCATCTTTTCCCCAGAAGGCCAGAGTTTTGCTGTTTCAATAAGGGCTCTGCTGCAATTGTATCCCTTTCAGATGCTTTGTAACCAGCCTTGAACTGCTCTATCTTTTTGGAGACTTTGTAAAATAAATCCATAATGACAAATGAAACACTGAATGTCTTCTGTGATTATTTATGCATTTCTGTGTTGAAAAGAGTTTTATTGTTGTTGTTAGCAGGGGTGTTAGCCATCCATTAATACCTTGGGTCGAGTCTGTCGACCAATCAGAGGCTGTGCTCCTGACTCATCGACCAATCAGAGGCTGTGCTCCTGACATGTCACCAGAGCAATGCTTCCCTTCCAGGCAAAAAGTATCTCTCTCACATGCAGTGTTTCTGAAATATTTTTTTCTTTTATCTACGATGCCCTTTGATGTTGTATATGACACCGTCGATTTTAGAGAGTTAACCGTGTTTTTTTTTCCACAGGTTACAAAAATGTACTATTTGTTTCACTTATTGACATGTAGACTTTTTAGCATAAGCGTTTCATGTAGTTTTTAATCATAGTGCTAAAGATTTTATACAACACCCTCAAAACAGTACCAGCGCTCAAAAATTTTACATACAGCCCTGGAACCCAACCTCTCAAAATTTGACCACCTCTGTTCCCATCGTTTACAACCCAAAACCAGGTTAAACAATCAAAAAGCTCTACAGATATTTGTTTAGTTACAGGAGTGTGAGTGTGCAGAGACTCTTCCTGGCATTCACTGAGCCACATTACACAAACTTCTGATCAATGCAGCAATCAATCTCCTCCCTACTGTCCACCTTACGGCCTCAACCGCACACACACATACACCTAAAGCAGCACACATTCGCTCTGTGTATGCTCATTCATCTGCAGACCACATAACAGAGAGAGTGATTTTCACATTCCACTGTCAGTCAGGCCTGGTGAGCAGTCAGTTACGTTTCAGATATCAAACTCATGAGATCTTACCTCACTCTCTCCCGATGCTCAGACGGTCACTGGGTAAAGAGGTCGGGTCTCCATGTAGACGCACATCTGCAGACTGGTCACCTGGGAAAAGACAACAGGATGATTAGAGTAGGCGAAGGAGATTAAGTCTAAGTGCTATTGCAGTTTCTGCTTTACATATGATTCAAAACCTGACTGAGAACTGGACTCGCTGAAGTGCTGATTTCGAACAGTCTCTGGCATTCATGCTGGTATTTAGTGTGTCCTCGAAAGCTTTGTACAGTATTTAGTAAACAAAGATGATTCCTCCTCGGATGTAATGGTCAATGCAGATGAAAATGCATTTAAGCACAATGTGTTGACACAACACACTACACCCGCTATAAAAAGGGGTTTATGTGCAGTAGAACTGATCCGTGACACTTTTCACTTTTCAGTAAAACCACAAAGAACATCATGTCATCTGCAATGTCTTTGGATTCTGTATTTCTCTTGCAATCCATCTGATCACCCTCTGCCTTCACTAAGAATGTCAGAGTTGCTACAGAGATGCAGAATAGAATTAAAGCTGCTTTGCACAACTAGCAAGGTGGCCTGTTTGCCCCTCTGCTGTAATCAGATTTGGAATACAAATCAAGGCAATGTAGTGTGATAAGAACTAGTCCACATAGGTGCAACTCAACAACAGTCAAACAAATAACTAAATAAATACATATCGTCGCTGTCCAATGAAAAACATCCAAAATAGTAACTTTACAGGACAGGGCAAAAACGTTCCTTACTTTCAATGTAAGTTAATGAAAAATATGTTTTTGTTCTAAGCAATTTTGGACCATTTCATTTGGTCCAATCATCATTAAATTTTCACACAATGTAAAGGACAGCTGCTGAACTCAAATGATGCAGAAAAGTAAAAATCGCAAAAAATGGAGATACATGTTTTTCATTGAACAGCGACGATATATGAACTTATTCTCTACTTGCATGTGTGAATTTTGAATGGCAAATCTATAAATAAAACATCCACAAAAATAAAAGAGGCAGATCAGAAGAAACCAAACTTCCTTAATTTGCAGAATAAGATCTTTACAGATACAGAGCCACTAAAATGTACAGCACATGCTGTTTCTGCAGTGCTGTACTTCTGCTCAAACTAAAGTTACATCACCCTCAAAACAGGACCAGAGTGGGAAACCGGTTTCATCTTATGGAGTGGGTGTCATAGTGGGATGGCTATATAGATTATCTGCATTATTTTGGTTTTTCTGTGAAACAGCAGATTCTATCACTTTACAAAGAGCAGGACAAGACAAATTTCAGAAAGGACCCACACAATCTGAGGAACAACTCGCATACATAAGCATGCACACCCTGACACAAATTCCAAAAATGTGAAAATACTACCTGTCACATATACGCCGATCAGGCATAACATTATGACCACCTCCTTGTTACTTACTATATAGGAGCACTTTGTAGTTCTACAATTACAGACTGTAGTCCATCTGTTTCTCTGCATACTTTGTTAGCCCCCTTTTACCCTGTTCTTCAGTGGTCAGGACCCCCATGGACCCTCACAGAGCAGGTACTATTTGGGTGGTGGATCATTCTCAGCACTGCAGTAACACTGGTGGTGTGTGTTGTGCTGGTCTGAGTAGATCAGACACAGCAGTGCTGCTGGAGTTTTTAAACACTGTGTCCACTCACTGTCCACTCTATTAGACACTCCTACCTTGTCAGTCCACCTTGTAGATGTACAGTCAGAGACGATAGCTCATCTGCTGCTGCTTAGTTTGTGTTGGTCATCCTCTAGTCCTTCAGCAGTGGTCACAGGACACTGCCCACAGGACACTGTTGGCTGGATATTTTTGGTTGGTGGACTATTCTCAGTCCAGCAGTGACACTAAGGTGTTTAAAAACTCCAGCAGCACTGCTGTGTCTGATCCACTCAGACCAGTGCAACACACACATCAGTGTTACTGCAGTGCTGAGAATGATCCACCACCCAAATAGTACCTGCTCTGTGAGGGTCCATGGGGGTCCCGACCACTGAAGAACAGGATAAAAGAGGGCTAACAAAGTATGCACAGAAACAGATGGACTACAGTCTGTAATTGTAGAACTACAAAGTGCACCTATATAGTAAGTGGAGCTGATAAAATGGGCAATGAGTGTAGAAACAAGGATTCATAATGTTATGCCTGATCGGTGTATTACATAATTGTGTGATACCAAACTGTGCATCTACTGTGCTGTTTATAAACAGGGTGGAGGGGGATGTGCTACCACCATTTATCGTCCCTGCTTCCCAGTTTGATTGTCTTAGAGCTTGCTTAAAACATCCTTTCTTTAATAAAGAGTCAGTTTGTTTGCCTTCTTAACCTCTACAACATTTACTCTCATCACTACAACTAATCCAACTTTCAGTACAACTAATTCAACTTATCAGCCGATACTGCGTACTGAGCCGATTGCAGTGCTCTGTTAAGGCACTCATGTTTTGCAGTAGCTACATATAACAAATATTCAGCAGAAGCTAATGTATCATGTTGGAGACATTCGCACACCAAGATCCTTCTTTGAATTGCTCAATTTTTAAAAATTATATTGATCTAGAAGGTATATAAAATTACACTGTTCAGATTATGCTGTGCTATGTTATATGTGGAGCTGCAGCTAACGATTAATTCTATAATCGGTTATTTATTTATTACCTTTATATAACCAGAAAAGAAACTCAGGTCCTGGCCAACATAGGTAGCAATCTATTGGTAATAAATTGGAAATAAATTAAAATACTGGCACAAAAAACCTGAATCTGAATAATACATCGTCCCAAATATTTACATTACTGTTACCTTCCTTTCTCAGCCAACATTCCTGTACTACCACACTATGGAATCCCAAAAATGACAAACAGCAGAAATTATAGAGTTAAAAAAGGAAGGTTTTAATTATTTATTAAAGTCTATTGGCTATTTTTATTTTTCAATTTATCACCTTTCCCATTTTCTCAATTATAGATGCTAAACATTTAGCTATTTCCCATTTTTACATGACTGTAAACACTGACAAAATATGGTGCATATCTGCCTGAGCGACAGCTGATACATCACTGGCTGCGTTAAATATTCCTGGCTGGCACGAACAGCTGGTGTGTTTGTGATTTTATGATGACTGAAGGCATTTTCAAATACATTAAATATCGTCCCATGCACTATATTAAGCCTCTGAAGCCACATTACCCCAGTGTGAAGAGTATGTTGACATATGTCAGAATTAACTCACATATGAACAATATGGTGCTTTTATAAGCAAACGTCACAACAATAAAAAAACATCTAGTTGACTATGTCAACTAATCATTTCAGACCTATTCACAGCTCTGAATATGAAGCAGTATCGAGTGCAGATCAGTCACATCTGCTAGCTACAACATTGAGCCTCAAACTCTACTGAGTACTGAATTGTACTGAATCAGAGAACACTTACATTAGCATATTAGCACTTTGTAAAAAAAAAAATCGACATAAGAGGCCCCTGTACCCTTTAAGCATAAGAGCTCCGTTGTGGAGTGCACTATTCCCCTGGTTTCAAAGCAGTGATTTTCATTTTAAAGGCAACAGAGTCATCCAACATGAGTCATCCACTCTTGGAGGGCTCTGCTATTTTCTACCCTGCCTCCCGTTAGTCAGCATAAAGTAGCGATTTAATACATAACAAAGAAAGGAGTAGGAGACGAGAGCTTGAACAAGGACACGCTTTGCTAATACCTAAGCAGGAATGATCTGGCGCTGCAGTATAAGAAGGAGTAAACTTCATTTAAGAGCTTGCTTAATGGATTGCTGGCAGCTGCTTTCAAAACACTGAATTAAAGTAAGGAGGCTGCAGTGATGCTATACAGTGTTCTAAAAATGTCAACTATTTGGCAGGAAAGATGCTAAATGGCTGTGTTGGCTTGGCTCAGTATAAAAAACAATTCACTTTTGAAAAGCAACAGCAGCCTGCGCTGGGCACTGGATAAGGAGCATGCCAAAGGAGCAAGAAAAATCGCCTGCTTTGAGACGAGCAGTCATACCCAATTTTTCACATATCTGATCTTTTCCTTAAAGCTGAAGCATCGAGACACAGCAAGGCAGTGAATAGAGAGTGAAACTGCAGTGGATGTTTGGGAAAGAGATGTGGTTTCACAAATACACTCTTCTTGGTGTGAGAGTTAAATTGGACCAGCAAAAAGATGAAGTGAGATTAATCATCTTCATTTGTGCTGAGTAACCAGAGTTATTTCCACACCTTTAATTCAACAATGGATTGATACCTAATCCAGTTGTTAGTGCTGTCAACACTACATCCAACTACATATTTCTGACCAAAACCCATTCATACACATTACATGTCCAAAAGTTTGTAGACACCTGCTTGCCCAGCATTTCTTCTGAAATCAAAAACATTTAAAGAGAGTTTGTCCCCCTTTTGTTGCAGTAACAGCCTCTACTCTTCTTAGAAGGTTTTACACTAGATGTTGGAAGACTCCTGCAAGGATCTGACTGAATTCAGCCACAGGAGCACTAGTCAGATCAGCTACTAATGTTAGATGATTAGTTCTCGATCACAAACACGACTCCAGCTCATCCCACAGATAATGGATGGAGCTCCATCACTCCAGAAATGCACTTCCACCGCTCCACAGTCCAGTAGCTGTGGACAGAGCGACCTTAGGCTCGAGTGGCTGCTCCAAAGTATCTCATTCTACTGGCAATGCTTTTCTATGTGGATTACACAAGCTGTATGTGCACAGTTGAACACCTGTGTCAGTAATGGGTGTACCTTAAAGTAGCTAAATTCACAAATTAGAGGGAATGTCTGGACACTTCTGGACATATAGTGCACTAACCAGGCACCTCAACACAAGAGCCCAAGCCAAGAGCATATTTAAACACAAATCAGATCAGGTAATGCGGAAAACTAAAGCTGATTTGAGAGCTACGGCTTGCAGGCCAAGCTGAGCCTCTAAGGGATCTCACATGCCAAACAGGCACACAGCAGAGTGAATGAAGGCAGATCAGTTGGGAAATCCTATTATATATCCACCGGTTATCTGA